AGATTTGTCAAAAAATGACTTTCTTTTTACATTTATAATTTGAGTTACGGTAGACATTTTGAGTTACTAAGGCATTTTACTTTAAAATATGGAATTGGTACCTTTAGCATATTTAGTAGTCACAAAGAGTATGATATTAACTATCTATTGATTTATAACTTTGATGAAATGTGATGTTTGAAGATCCTTTATCAAAATAGTAACTCATTTAAATTGTGACCCACATTGAAAAGTATCTGATTATATTCTGCATGAAATCTGATGATGAACTTACAAAAAATTTCCTGGTTGCAAATATTTGTAGGAAGAAAGAGGTTAAGCCATTTGATGCCAGTGCTGGATGCACTGTGTGATCTCTTTCTGCAGCCAGGAATTGCATTTCTACAAACCTGCTCTATGCAAGCATTTTAGTTTACTGTCTGTAGTTGCAAGCATTTTAGTTTACTGTCTGTAGTTGGAGCCAGCAGAAAATTGAGAGAAGGGCAGTTAGAAATTTAGGAACCTCCTTACTTTTTCTCTTAGTCTTGCCCATGCATGAGCATACAATCATAGTAAATACTATTTGTCTACTATGTATGACAGCTTCAACCCGCACCCAGTATCCCCTCTTCCATAACTGTTTCCTCTACGGAAATTGAGTTACCATTGATCACCTTCACAACAAATCATGTCTTTCTTCCTGTTAAATTATCCCAGACAAAAAAAGAAACATATAAAAATTGTATTTACTGGATTTAAGAAATAAGCATCATAGCATTGTAATTAGTAGTATTGCCCTTAAGAAGTTTGAATGTATTTTTCAATTTTATCTAAGAACCCACATAATTGAAAAGGAATCAAACTTTCATTATGTCAGCAACTGTTCCTAGTTACAAGTATGTTCATCTACATGGTCAAAGTATGTTGGCTTTCAGAGTCATGAGCAAGGAACTAATCATAAGATAATTCTGAGTAAAAAAATGCCAGAGGTTGGTGAGTGCTTTCCAATCCTGAATGGACAAAAGAAGAAAACATTGACTTATTCAAATGTCAGCCTTGATGTTAGGACCATTTGAAGTGTTTAATACAAGACAATGTTTCCATCTGTCTGAAAGGAAAGGTTTGCTTTCGATGCTAATCTTTTCATTTTAAAATAAAACATAGGTGGATAATTTGTATGCATTTTGAGTATTATTACCCATTCATTTGAAAATTTCTACCAGTATCTAAGTTTGTTGTTCTACTCAATCTTTGATTAAAATTTCCTGCAGTGCAAGTTCAGAATTGACATTTAGTTAGCAAAATTTGTGGACACATTGTATTATGGGCACAATGTTCCAGCCATCAAAAACTTATTTTGGGAGCACATTGTAAATATACTCACATTAATCTGTGGTATTATTAATAACTGGACTTTGAATCTCATCATGGCTTTGCATCACTAACATGAAAAATAAAGCATTCACATTACTTTCCAAAGGTCACAGAAAATAACTTATTTTCTTGCTAAGATAAACGTTAATAAAGATTTTTTAAAGCTTGCTTATCCCAGAAAATTTATAGTATAGAATTTTAGAACAGTCACAAACAGAAATTTCAATGAAGATTCATATTTAAACTAGACATTTTTTTCCCTACTGTGCCTTGTGCCTTCACTGTGTATGACTTAGAAGGGAGAAATGGTACACAAAGTCTTTGAATGTCACCATTGCAAATCAAATATACAGCAGCAGAAAATGGACTCTGGGGAATAATATTGCTGTGGTGGGGGAGAGGCAGCACAAGCCAAAGTAATTTAATTTATCTAATCTAAATCAAAACTTTAAGGCTCACTCATGAAAGAAGTGTATGTATTACCCTTATTTCTAATTTCTATTTTTCATGCTGGCTTGGGTTCTTGCTTCCCAATTTTAAATGCAAGGACTATAGTCTGAAAATTATTTGTTAAATAATTTAATAGACATCATAAATGAGGTTTTAGTTTTCGAAATGCCACATCTTAATTTCAGTAATACACAGTGTTATTTTGCATATATATGTATAAACTCTTATGGAAAAAAGAAGGCACAATCTAGCAGCTCAGATTATGTTAGGTGACAGCTCATATTGTTTGCAATCAACCATTACAACCTTACATGGTATTTATTTATTCAAGACAAATAATAAGCTTCATTTCTCAAGGGCAATGCACTAGAAAATGTACATAAAATCTTGTTTGCTGATTAACCTAACAGATAATAAAAGAATACGAGCATCATAAAATTTTTAAATGTGTAAATGAGAAGGTAATATGAGAGGTGGGATTTACAAATCAAAAAAGAGAGAGCTAATTGTAATCCACCTTCTGTGGTATTGCATTAGAGATAAAAACACAAAATCGTTTAAATTAAGGAAATCACATTGGCTGCATTTAATCTTTTTTATTTCATTCTTTTAATCCTAAGAGGTGAAAATATAAAAATAGCTAAATGCTTGTGGGAATATTAAGGCCTCCATTTAAATTATTTTGAATTTAAATGTAATTTTTACTAATGCTGTTGAGCAGTGGGAATAATTAGAATGATTTCAGCAAAGCTGGATATTTGAATAATTAAAGGCACAAGATTAATTTTAGGAGAAGCATCATTATCTAAAATCAAATATTAGAATCCTTATAAACGACAGAGATAGAAATGGAAAATAGCCAGAACCATATTTTACACTTATTTAACCTCATTAATAATATAGATTCCTTGGATAAATATGAAATCAATTTGTATTAAATATAAATTTCAAATTTTGTTAACTTTCAGTAAAGTTTCAATACTTGTGTATTTTAGAAAGATAATTTTATCTATAATTTTTACATTGCAGTTCAAAATTCCCAAATTATTGTTTTCTTATTTATTTTTGAATAGATAATACATGCAAATTATAAAAACTCAAACACATTGAAAAGTAAGATTTTCTCCCACCTTTCTTTCTGAGCCAACTACTTTCACCAGAGAAATTATTATTATTTTTTGCTTTTTCCAGTTTCTGAGATCTTTATATACTTTTGTTTCAACATTTGACACATGGTAGGCTTTCCAGACACACCATTCTGCTTTTTCTTTTATTACTCAGCACTACATTTTATTAATCATTCTATCTTAGTACATAAGACCTTTAGCAGCAGCATAGTATTTCATAATTTATTTAATAATTTTCAATAGATATTTGAATTTTTCTTTTTTTTTAAACCATTATGAACAATGCTAAAGTGAATATAATTGTACATACATTTTTAAATACATCTATGAAATGATTCCTAGAAGATTAATTTCTGGTCAAAAGACACATGAATAATTAAACAAATGACTACAAAATACGATGCAGAGAGGCTTTACTGATTTATATATTCACAAGCAGTATGTGAGAGAGCCTACACACAAAAATTGGGTTAAGATACAATGTTTTACAATTTTTGAACATGTGACAAGTGAAAAAATAAACATCATTATAGTTTCAGCTTGCATTCATGTGTTTAATATGGTTGAGATTATTTTATGTTTAAATGCCATAGTACCGCGCCTCTGGGAGGCTGAGGTGAGTGGATTGCCTGAGCCCGCCTGGGCAGGCGAGACCTCATCTCTACAATAAATCAAAAAAATTAGCTGGTTATGGTAGCGTGCGCCTGTAGTTCCAGCTACTTGCAAGGCTGAGGCAGAAGGATCGCCGGAGCCCAGCAGGTCGAGGCTGCGGTGGCCGGGAGCAGCCACTGCACTCCAGTCTGGGCGACAGTAAGACTCCAACTCAAAAAAAAAAAAAAAAAAAAAAAGAATTGCCATAGTATTTTATCTTTTAGAAGCTGTATGTTCACATCCAATATTGATTGTAAAAATTGGAAACTTAAAAATAGATTTGTTCATCTGCAAAACTGATGAATTATTTACAAGCACCTATTTTCCACTAGGTCCACATTTCTATTGCTCACATCTCATGTATTTAGTTGGGTAAGTACCTTTTTGTTTCTTATTGAAACAAAGAATAAAATCATTTTGAGTTTGAGAAGATGACTAATGGAAAGTGTGTGTCCACCACAGCAGTAACTTATTTCAGGGGCTGAGAGAAAGATAACTCAATAGCAATTAAATAATTTTTAAAGTTTCAGAGTAGAGCACTATAAATATGAGATTACACTTGAATTTTTGAAAGTACTGAGTTTTAATGAATACCTGAATTTGATCATCATCATTGTATCTATTATATGTCTTTGTTTAGAACTCACAGAGGCCATTAAATTTAATTACTTTCCCCTGAGGCTTGCATGGTAAAGGTGCACGAAAAGATGGGCTTTTAAATTGGGAACAGATTCTCATGAATAAGGATGCCATTTATTTATTACAATTTGGAAAAAAATCAGTGGGTCTGAAAGCTGCCTACTTCTAGTTCTGGAAAAGAATAATGGAATGAAGAAAAAAACATATCTAATTTTGAATAATATGCCTGAGGTTGTTCAGCAGGTCTAGTCATTAATTCTGTGATATACTCTTTGAGCTTTTCTGGACAAATTTTACAAGAAAAAGATGAACAGAGGGCTTAATCCCCAATACCTGCTATGGTTTCTTTCTGTTTTCTATCAATTTAGCCTAGCTTTTTAAAGTTAATATTGTATATTATTAAACGTTGAATATAAGACAGAAATATAAAATAGAATAAAATTCGACAGTTCACAATTCCCTGTATTTTGCTCCAGAACACTAGTGTTAAAAGTTAGATGCTTATTTTATGTATATTTTTGAAATTTGTGTCATTTTCTTGATTTGGTTTTTATATTTTTGGTTAATATAAACACAAAATTACCTGTAATATGTGCTAAGCCCTTCTTTCTTCTATACCTTTTCCCCAAAACCATTTTTAACATTAAAAAAAATATTCTGGCTATAGTGCACACAGAAAAATTCCAAGTTATAACAAGTAGTTTTTACTTTATTTTTTGGACTGAGTACAAGGAACTTTATACATGATCCCTGGGTCCTTCCCCTCATTCTTGAGGACATTGTGTGGAGGGGAGATTCTCAGTGTGGTTGGGGACTGAGTGCGGCAAGGACTCCTCAGCAGCTGAAGGCTTTTCTCTTCCTCTCCTGCTCTTACTGGGGCTGGTGATCCAGGGGCTCTCACTCCTTGGGGGCCATGTGGGCCATGAGGTCTACCACCCTGTTGCTGTAGCTAAATTCATTGTCATACCAAGAGATGAGCTTGACAAATTGGTTGTTGAGGGCAATGCCAGCCTCAGCATCAAAGGTGGAAGAGTGGGTTTTACTGTTAAAGTTGGAGGACACAACCTGGTGCTCCGTGTAGCTCAGTATGCCCTTGAGGGGGCCCTTGGATGTCTGCTTCACCACCTTCTCGATGTCATCATATTTAGCGGGTTTCTCCAAATAGCAGGTCAGGTTCACGACGGACACAGTGGTGGTGGGGGCACAGACGGCCATGCCAGTGAACTTCCCATTGAGCTCAGGGATGACCTTACTGCCAACCTTGGCAGTGTGGGTGGACTCAGGGATGATGTTCTAGAGGGACTGTGGCAGTAGCACCACAGCTTCTCAGAGGGGCCATCCACAGTCTTCTGGGTGGCAGTGAAGTGAGGACAGTGGTCAACAGTCCCTCCACAATGCCAAAGTTGTCGTGGATGATCTTGGTCAGGGGGCTAAGCAATTGGTGGTGCAGGAGGCATTGCTCACAATCGTGAGGTTGTTCGGGTACTTCTCGTGGTTCACGCCCATCACAAACATGGGGGCGCTGAGGAGGGGGCGGAGATGATGACCCTTTGGCTTCCCCCTGTAAGTGAGCCTCAGCCTTCTCCAAGGTAGTGAAGACACTGGTGGATTCCATCACATAATCAGCTTCAGTTTCGTTCTATTTGATTATGGTGAGATCTCTCTCCTGGAACATGGTGATGGGGATTTCCAATGATGACAAGTTTCCCGTTCTCAGCCTTGATGCTGCCATGGAACTTGCCATGAGTGGAGTCATACTGGAATATGTAGATCAGGTACTTGAGGTTAATAAAAGGGGTCATGAATGGCAATAATATCCACTTTGCCAGAGTTAAAAGCAATCCTGGTGACCAGGTGCCCAACATCGTCAAATTCATTCACTTTGGCTTTCACCTTAGCCAGGGTGTCTCGAGGTCACGGCTGGTGCTGCACAAGAGATGCCACTGTCGAGAAGAGCAGAGAGCCTATAACAAGTAGTTTTTAGTGTGGTTTTCCTAGGCATAAATTAACTGTGACAATAGTAAAACTAAAAGACAACACAAGACAAACTTCTTTGAAATGCTAGTTATATTTATCTAAGAGTATGACGAATACTCCAAATCTCAATGTTACAACTATCCAGGAACAAAAAAAACCTTGTGCGTGAGAGTAGCTATTAATATTAAATTTAATATAATATTAATATTAAAAGTAACTATTAATATTACTTTTATGGTATTATGTAATTAAATATTTGATTATTTTTACATTTTATCCAAGGAAATTTTATAAGATAATCTATAAAGAAATGCTAGATTCTTCAATTTCCCACCAGACTTTAAGCATTTAGTCAATAAACATTTGCTAAATAAATAAATATAAAAATATATACAGATGCTTTCTAAATTACTAAATTCAACTAGCAGGTAGACAGAAAATGAAGATATCCTATGGTGCGATTATATTCTATCTGATTAGAATTTCTATCACATCAAACATCTATTATGTCAAAAACAAAGTTGATAATAGGAATAGCAGGATTGTTTGAGAGAATGAGTGATAGTAACGACCATTTAGGAAAAAGAGGAATATGGCAGCAAGATGTCATGGTCTTTGGAGATCAAAGACTTAGGCTTTAATTCTGGCTGTGCCATATCTAGCTATGTACTTAGACAACTTTCTTAATCTCCCTCCCCCATATTCTTATCTTTAAAATGGTTTAAAAATGTTATCTACTTCATGAATGTAGCAAAGGCATGTACTGATCACCAAATATCCATGTGCTCTTATCTCATTCCCTTGCAGGTGGGTGAGACCATTTGAATAGCTCTGAACAAAGAGCTATGAGTGGAAATGATTTGTGTCACTTCCACACAAAAAACTTAAGAGCAAAATGAGCAATCCTCTTTCACTCTCCTATGGTGGTGATAAGGAAGGAAGCACATTCCAGAGGTATGACTACAGATGGGAGAGCAGGAGAACCCAGGACCCTGTGTGACTGTGTAGAGCACAGTTCTCTGCACCTTCTCCTAAAAGGGGGCATATCCTCTGTATGTGGAAGAGTTGACTTGTTTTTATATGAAGCCCCAATAATTAGAGATTAATACACATAAACTTTTGTTAGAAGTAGATGAGATGATTGTACCACATATGCTCACTCATAAGTGGACCCTGAACATTTATCATACTACTATAAGAAAGGGATTGGCAGTAACAGGATACCGTCATAGGAGGAAGGTGAGGCATATAACATCAATATGGATACCTGATCTCAAACCAGCTGAAATGGGGACCAAAGGGAGGCCCAAACTTTACCTGTATGATGATCACTTGTATACATAATCCTGAATTGTATTTCACATCTTTAAAATAAAAAATAAAATAAAGGAAAAAAGGAATTAAATGATTGATGATTATGATGTAAAATCACCATTTTGGTGAATGGTGTACTGTAAGAGTCTTTTAATATTTAATTCAAAGTTTGGCAAACTTTTTCTGTAAGTATCAAAGAGTAAACAGTTTGGACTTTGCATTCTGTATGGTCTTTTTTTTTGCAACTACCCAACTATGTCATTACAATGCATGAAATACCAATACATTATCTAAAAGCAATCACAGATCATATAAATGTGCTTGGTACTTGAAAATGCAGCAAGCAATCTATTAGTTTTTTTTTAACTTGTAATATCTTAAATAATTTGTTCTTGTAACTGTTACATTGAATAATCAAGACCCAGAGTGTAATTGTAAAGATACTTTTCTCCTCACAGTTGTGTCTACTAACCCAATATGTGGGGTCATTATTTTCCTCTCATGCAGCAAAATTTGGGCAAGTAGCCCAGATAGTTTATTTGTTCAGTCTAAGATAATATTTTAAAAATCCTCTGTGAATACTTCAGCCTCTCAAATAATTTCAGTATGGTAACTTATCCTGTATAGCATAATAATAAACACTCTGAACTTAAGTTGAAGTGAAATGCCTCAACCTTACTTAGGCCCACTAAAAGTAGAATATAGGTCTTGGAAAAGGCGACAGCGGGGGCAGCAGAGGGACACTTCTTTTCTTTTTACTTCGCCTGCTCCTCACTATCCACATTACCTCTTTTGCTAACCAGAAGAGGCCGACTCTCTGCTGAGTTTGGGGAGTGCTCTCATCTGCAGTTCTCTTTTTTCCACTGAATATATCTCCTGTGGATCCTTTATCTCCCTCAAGCCTCCTTCTGCTAGCGTGTGCTTCTTCCTCCAGATGATCTTGAACAGGATATAAAATAATGTCAAGTATTCTTTGTCATTCTCTTTCTTTCTCTTGCAAACATAGTACTCATGATCCACATCAGGGTTTATCAAGCTCTAGGGGATCTGTTTATAGCACTTCACATTGACTTTGGAGGGGAAGTAGAAGTGTTCCTCGCTCTCTGTAACTCTCTCTAGCCTCTAACTCTTGGCTGCTTTTAGTTTTCTAAAATTTGCAAAAACAGCATTCAACCGACTCCTCAGCTGTCCCTGCCGAGTTGGTCAAACACCTTCCTATGAAATGTGAGTGAAATTAGTGTCTATTATTCCCAAGCTTCTGCAGAAACTTTTTAATGGTCTATTAAAATGGCTTTAACTACTCTATTTTCCCTTAAGGCACTAGGAGTATGGTTGTAAATACAAGACTAATACTCCAGAAATATTTGTGAGATTTGTATGGATCAGAAAGGACTTAGGGGTCAATAAATTTATTCCTTAGCTAAACTGATGAATATTTACTGAGGGCAAAATATTTGTAGAATGCTGGGCTAGGCCTTAAGTAAGTCTTAAATCAAATGAAGATATTATTACGGTCACTATTTGCATCTCTTTGGTTTGGGGGGATTAACTGTCTCTTTAAAAGTTCTATTTCCATTGTTCTAACTCTTGGGGTCACTGTGTTATTTTATACAAATATGGCTACGTGGCAGAGAAATATTAATTTTTAAAGAACAGAATAACAGAATTCAAATGTTGAAGACGGGCTTACATTCTCTTTCATTATTCTTTCCTTAGACTGTCCATCATTAGCTTTCCTAATAATTCCTTTTATGGCACATGTAACAGGTACGTGCCAGTACTCTCTAACTGCAGTCAAGGACAAAAGCTAGGGCTCTCTTTTGGAGACCACTCTTACTTAACACTGTGGGTGAAAAAGACCCAACCTGCATCTCTGAGAGCTGTCGCATAGCCTGAACCACCTCTTTATAACTTTGCACATATTGACCCCAGGTCCTTATTCCTAACTTTCTTGACTTTCATCAACAGCATGTCCATTCTTACCAAACACAAATATTATTTTTTAGGTAATAAATATTTTAAAATGAATAACTGAGCTTACAAACATAAGGAAAATTCACAGGGTTTTGAAAAGTGGAATATGATAAAGTGAAACTCAAATGATAGTTTAAATATTTTTTCAGAATTAAACAAATTATTAAACATATTGCCTCCCAATGATAGTGCTTGTATGTCTGTATTAATTATTTATCATAAAGTGGTTTAATGTTCTATTTATATACATATAACCTTGATTTTATAATACTTCTGAGCAACATTAGTATATTTCACCTTAAAAAAATGAAACATGAAGCATAAAACTAAGTTTTAGTTTTGTTCTCTTTTTCAGCATTTGGCAAGCCAAGTTTTTTTTTCAAATGTTGATTTTCTTATGGAAAACAAGCCATTGTGAGAATTGCATCAAAATAAAATACTAATATTAAAATAAATTTGCTAATGTGTATAAAACAACTTAATATCTGGAACAAAATGTTCAAAAATCAACGATTTCATTCTACAATAAAAATTAACATAAATATGTCTACATTTGTGACCATTCTGGGAGTTCTTACAAGGTCTCAGGTTCATTATAATCAGTGTCTAGTACATGGGTAAGTACAAAGAATAATCCAGTTAGAAGATATTTAGGTAAGTATGTACATATCCTATACATATTTAAATGTATTAGTAATAAATCTTTGATATGAGTTAGTTTTCACAAACTTTTGTCAAGGTCTTCCAAAAGTAATTTAGAAAAACAAAGAATTGAAAAATTCCAGCCATTGTCTTACTAGACTCTGGTGTGGCCACGTGCTCTTTGAGCTATGACTGTCATGTTTCCTGACTTTGGTCCCCTTCCCTGCCTTGGGGAGGTGAATCTCCTCTTTCTTTCTCACTCTCTCTAATTTACCTTTTAAATAAACTATATTTTCTAATCTAAAAAAAATTCCAAAACAATTTAAAAACTCATTTAGTTAACAGTTTTATAAAATTGTAGTATAGTTATTTTTAAATCTGTATATACTTATATGATTTCATGACATATATACATTAATTTATACATAAATAACCATTAGTGTATGCATATATTAAAATATGAACTAGATAAAATAAGCACACCCATACAGTTATGTTTGTGTAGATATACATATATATACACACATTTAAAAGTATAAATATAAAAACCAAAATATAAATTAGGGAGAGATAATTTGTTCTATGAGAAAGTTCAAAATATATATATGTTTAAAACCAGACTTCTTTTCACAATTATTTTATACACTATTTCTAAGGTTAAGTCTTACATAAAATGTGTTAAACACTAATGATGTTTCTCAGGTACAATAATTAATTAGTTTCATTTATGGTTAAATGGAGCAAGAAGAAAGAAACAGACCTACACATTAAGTTTTCATCTTAAAAAGTGTTCAGAAGCTCTATAAGAAATTAAAAATAACAAATTATTTATCTTGAATTTTTTTTTAGTGAACAAATGCTGATGTGTTAAACTCAATGCTCAAATAATTCAAACCTACTATTTCAGGATAAAGTAATGTCTTTTAGTGATGTAAGAAACAAGAGGTTGAGGGGGTTGAAAAAACTACTTAACTTGATACCTGCTGAGTATGTTTTAGCCCCATAGATCATGATGCCATTTCCTCTGTCCTGGCAAATAGGTAGCAGTACTATTTTTGTTCTTAGCATATAGTCAGCTTCTTTTGAAATCCAGTCATACATTGGAAATGCTGACCCCCTGCCATAGTGAATTCCAGAGGCAGAAGCTCCATGCTATGAAAAGTGGTATTCAACTAGAGGAGTTCATGAAGAAAGTGAAAGTCTCTCAAATTAATTTCTCAAAATGCCCTAAGCTCCAGCCATCTCCCCTCCAATGTTCTTTGCAGCTGCATAATACTTCTGGACTAGTTGAGCCTGGATGAGTTGGCTGCCTCCCCCATGGCAAATATTTCCTGTTCAAAGAGTAGTTCCCATGGTTGTATAATTTTTTGTACAGCGAGTGGGAACCTTTGTGATTGAGCAAGCTGTGCTGAAAAAGATAACAAGCACAAAACTACAAATTTAAGCTGAGAGAAACTTTGTCAAACTCTCAGTGGAAAGTACAAGAAAGAGTGCTTCCTTCCCACATTAAAACATTTTTAAACATTATTGAACTGCAAAGGGGCTCAGGATATTAACAGGTTTTATTACATTTAGTTAGGTCTTCCAATCTCCTAGTGAACAAGTGGAAAACAGAAGGATGTAGACAGAATTAGTACAAAGTCAAGAAATACAGGAAATGACAAACTCACGACTAATTTATACTTACACTTTGCATCACGTAAGTGATTGGTTCATTTAAAAGTTTCCTTTTGTTCTAGGCTGAAGGATCATTTATCCTGATAATCTCATTACCATGCTCTATGTCTTGTGTCAAGCAACTCCCTTTACCTAGAATTTCCTCTCAAAATCCTGTATGTGAGCAAAATTTTGAACCCAATTCTCCTGTGATATTCTTGTTAATAAAATAGTAAAATTCTGACTTGCTAAAAGTAATAGTGTATAGTTTTAAATACGGTGGGAGATTTGTATTCAAACAACATTATTCAACAACAGCACTTGGATATACTGAGTCACCTACTGTAAAGTACTTTGTTAAGTACTTTTTTTACATTATCTCAATTAATTAGTTCTTATGCATGTTTGTTGACTGAGTGATATCTTGTTTCTTGCTGAAATACTTCCAGTTTTGATCAAGTTTTCAGTTTCCAGATAAAATTCAAGGTTCTGTTGCATCTATTCATGGTCATATGACACAGTTCTGACCAATAAGATGAAGGTGAAAGTCTCTGAGAGAAGGCATTCTTTCAGAAGTTTATCTTCAGAATTAAAAAGATAGACCTTGTGAAGGTAAGATTTTGTCTTTTGTCCTTAGTTATTCTCTTCTTTCTTATGCCCAGCTGGGAAAATAGTATGATAGTGATCAGAGGAAGGTGCAACCATCTTTGACCAAACTATATAACAAATAGAATGAAGAACATAAACTTAAATTTTGAATGATATTTTTATGCAATTCGATCAGGCTTGAACTCTCTACCTTCAGCAATTTTGTTAAATTAGAAATATAATCCTATTTATTTAAGTCATTTTTGTCAAGCTTTCTGTTACTCTGTTTAACATAGTCATTACACATCGTAAGAATTCTCCAAGTTATTCGATAGCTGGAGTAAGAAGAGGAGGTAGGATTTGAAGCTTTGTCACTTTAAATTCCATTCAATTTTCACTCACCTGTTAATGGTCTTATATAACTTAGCAGTTTTGTTACTGATTTGAATAAATAAATAGAAGAATCAGTCAACAGATGTGATGTTTCCCAAAGCTTGAATGATAGCTAATATACTTCAATCTTCTTGATGGCTGCATATGTTTGTCCTTTTTGATGGCTGCGTGTATGTACCATATTTTTTAAATCCAGGATCTGGACCCTTTCTAAGCCTAAGCTAATGTGTGTATTTTTGTCTTAATTTTTAATAAAAAAGTTTAAAAAAGGAAAAATAATAAGAATGGAAAATGAATAAAAGCCTATAGAATAAGGATATAAAGAAAAAACTTTGCACAGTTGTACAATGTGTTTCAAGCTAAGTATTATTACAAAAAATTAAAATTAAAAAGCTTCAGTAAGCTAAGGTTAATTGATTATTTTTAAAAAAATTTGCATGTATTTAGCATAGCTTAAGAATACAGTGTTTATAAAGTGTACAGGAGTGTATGAGAATGTCCTGGTCTTTCATATTCACTCACCACTCACTCACTGACTCCCTTATATACTATATTTTATACAGTATTTTTACTGTACCTTCTCTACATTTAGATATGCTTTGATACTCTAATACTTATCATTGTGTTACAATTGCCTATGGTATTCAGTACAGTAGCATATAGTATAGGCTTGTAGCCTAGGAGCAATATGTTGTACATTATAAATCACATATGTAGTAGGCTGTACTATCTAGATTTGTGTAAGCACAGTCTATGATGTTCTCACAATGATGAAGTCACCTAATGATTCATTTCTGAGAACAGATCCCTGTCACTAAGTAATGCATGACTGTATTACTCTTTTGCCAAAAAGAGATAAAAAATTAAATTGATCAATTAATTTGGCCACATGAAGAATTCTGGTAAGCAGGCCTTCTATCCTAATGTACCTGTGGAATGTTCAGTTGGTATTTGTTGTCTTGGTTGAATTAATATAAATGTCCCCTTTTATTCTTAAGTGTCATAGTTTGTATGATAAATTATATGGCCATTCTTAGTCATGGGTGATCTTTACAAGGGCAGTTTCAATGGAATTCTGTGAGCAAAAATCTGATTAGAATGTTTATAAGAACAAAAGAGCAAAGAGTAAGAGATAGTAAAGATGCAAACAACCGTTTTGTTACAAAGGTATGCAGAGAAATAGGATGAAACCTGGAATTTTAAAAAATGTAATTATATATCCAAGGAATTCAGTTGGTGGTAAAAATTAAGTAAGAGACAGAAGAAAGAAGTCCAGAAGTAATTGAGAAGAAACTGGACCTGTATTTACTGGAGGGAATGGTTTAGAATAGATAAAAATTGGGATACATTTTTGAACGTTTTGTGAGTAAGGCACCGATTGCCCTGTGTTCTGGATTACGTTTCAAGAATATTTGTATAATCAAAGGCTTTGAAGAGAGAAAGAGAAGCTTTTTTCATGGCAAAGGACAGTTTTGGAAGACAAGTAGTGCATCTTCTTCTGAAGCATAGGGCAGGCATGTTTACTGACATGTATAAAAATGTGAATTCCTGAGTGTAGCGTTGCCCTCCTCTAATGTAACCCGATGCATCATCCTAGAGGGTCACATGCCCTTTTCGAATACATGGGCTCAGGCAA